CTATATGCTTTCGTTGGCCCAGATTTTAGAAAAATTAGCTGGCGTTCCTTCCTGTCAGCCTTCAGAAGTGCTTTTAATGAAAACTGGACTCTGTCCTCTTTTTCCAGTAATAGGAATTCTGGTTCTACTTCAGGAATAGGGGAATTCAGCATGGTGTGAGTTCTTCTTATGCAGAGAACATGCCTACAGCTGTAATCACACAACTTACTTCCTGAAGTCACACGTTATCTTACAGCAACTGTAAGCTAACTGAAGGGAGCTAAGCCACAAAGTTAAAACTCATCAAGCTTAATCTGAGACTGGGATTGTATTAGCTTGGTTAAGTGTTAGCATCTCTTATGGCTTCCCAAAGATGCTTTTTCAAAAGGCAACTGGACTTGGTTTTTCCTTGAAGATGTTTCACTTCTCATCCAAGAGGCTTCTTCAGCTTCTTCAGTTCTTCAACTTCTTCAGAACCGAAGAAGCTTCTTGGGTGAGAAGCAAAACATCTTCAAGGAAAAACAAAGTCCAGTTGCCTTTTGGAAAAGCACTTTTGGGACAACCATGACTTGGATGACTGAGAATCTCCATAGATTCTTATGGCTTCATTCAAACAATTCGGTGAACCAAGCCAAGTAATGACCAAGCAGACACAGTTGCAGAGTGCACTAAACTTGGTCAGGATTAAATCTTGGTTAGGATTTTGGTGGCTCATTGGGCTGACTGAACTCAGCCACTTAGTTATTACCAGAACCTGGGTCAATTCAGAAACCAGATTAAGCAAATTACGTGAGCACATTTTGAGATTTGTACAGAGCAGAAGACCCATATATGCTCTGAATGACTTCCCCCCCCCCAGCAGCAAACTCAAATTTTGCAAATGAACACATTATACAGCTCAATGGATATTTCTGAAACAGACCCCTTTCAGTGGTGGCATTCTACACTTTTCAGCAGAACCCTCTGTGTCCATTTCAACAAATTTGTCATTTCTCAAACTTTCTAATGTTTATTCTTCAGTGTTTATTACAGCCTTCTACAACCTTTGATCTCCAGATATATTGGCTTATTATTCCCAGGGTATAGCCCACTGGTGGCGAACTATGGCACAGGTGCCAGAGGCGGCACTCGGAGCCCTGTCTGTGGGCACACACACTGTCTCCCCAGCCCTGCCTCCTCCCATGGCCCCCTCCTCACCAGCAGCCCCCCCAGAGGAGAGTCACCCCTGGGCATAGCCCACATGAAGCAGTGCAGCCAAGGACATGGTAGCCAGGCAGCGGGGACAAGACTCTGTCCTTGCGCCCCGTCACGTGCAGCTGATGCTGCAGGGCATGAGTGGAGGGCATGGTTGCCATGGCACTGCTGAGCTGCCTGGGTGATCTGTGGCGGGCCGTGGAGTGGTGGGTGGCCCAGTGGGCAAGGTGGAGCAGGGACAGGGGTGGGGGGCGATTTTTGGGCACTCTGTCTCTAAAAGGTTCATCATCACTGGTATAGCCTAAACCAGGAGTAGGCAACCTTGGCCTTTTATGACTCGTGGACTTCAACGCCCAGAATGCCTGAGCCAGCCATGCTGAGGGAAAAGGGAGAAGTTTCCAAGCTGTGCCATGCTGGCTTAGGAATTCTGGGAGTTGAAGTCCACACGTCATAAAAAAGCAAAAGTTGCCTTCACCTGGCCTAAACCAACAATAGTCCAGCAAATTTCAAAAGCATTAGTATATTTATAAAATGTATTGTAATACGTATTATGTGTATTCTAATTTCTGTTGATAATCTTAGGAAACAGCTATGAAAAGAATTTTTAAAATGGTGTAATGATTACCTTTTATAATTGCTTTTCTGCCGGGTTATTGAGGGCTGATCTGATTTCCAGTCTATTGGGAAGTTTAAGACTATTTAATGTTTGGGGGGGTGTTTCCCCAGATAAATTTTGTGTAACATAATTCTGCTGTATGTGTTTGCTTGTTTTAATCAAAGTAATCTGCAGTTAGCTGAATTTATGTTATGTGAAGCTGTGGGTCTCATGGACTTTCAAGAATCAGGGTGCTCTCTAAGCAGTTTACAGAGTGAACACGTTGCCCCTCAACAATCTGGATCCTCATTTTACTGACCTCGGAAGCATGGAAGGCTGAATCAATCTTGAGCCAGTCAGGATCGAATTCCTGGCTGTGGGCAGAGTTAGCCTGCAATATTGAGTTCTAACCACTGCACCACCACGGCTCCAATTATGGCACAAACACTGCCTGACAATCTCTCTTCCCCCTCCCCCCCATATTCTCATGATGTGGCCTTACTTTTATCTCCACTCTCTGAATGAAAAAGGCTAAGTCATTGTTAGTGTATTGTGTGAAAGTGGTATTTTTCCCGGTTACTCTATCACTATCCAAGTACAACACTGTTGATACATGTGTCATGACATCACATCCAGTTCTGAAAGGAATGGCGTTTACATCCCGAGAAAAACAGCTGGAGCTTCAGCTTCAGCTGGAGCTTCAGCTACCCATTCCAGAGCATCATCATGACACATCCATACAATTGTAGGCTCCCAATTGTAGGCTTCTGTATTCTCAAAACAGAATAACAGAGTTGGAAGGGATTTTGGAGGTCCCCAACTTTTGGGGCACCAGGAACCGGTTCCGTGGTTTTTCTATGGATCGGAGGGGACTCGGTTTTGCGTGTTGCCTGCATCACACAGATGGGGCTTTGTTTGTTTGTGTGGACCAGTTGCTGGCATGCCGCAGACTGGTTCTGGTCCACGGACTGGGGGGTGGGGACCCCTATTCCAGTCCAATCCCCTGCTCAAGCAGAAAACCCTATACCAGTGAGGGCGAACCTTTTAGAGACCGAGTACCCAAAAACTGGCCCCACCCCCGCTCCACCCCTGCCGTGCCTTGCTCCGCCCCCACACCATCCCCCACCCTGCCTGCCCACAGGGCCACTCACTGCCTCCAGGGCCCACCACAGCCCCAGACAGCCCAGCAGTACCATGGCGGCCATGCCCTCTGCCTGCGCCCTGCAGCATCAGCTGTGTGGGATGGGGCATGAGGGCAGAGTCTTGTCTACATTGCCTGGCTGCCATGTCCTTGGCTGCGCTCAGGGGCGACTCCTCCAGGGGGGGTGCTGATGAGGAGGGGGTCATGGGGGGAGGCGAGGCTGGAACAATGGCACATGTGCCCACAGAGAGGGCTCCGCTTCTGGCACCTGTGCCATAGGTTCGCCACCACTGTCCTATACCAACAACCAATATCAAATAATTGTCCAATCTTATCTTATCAAGCTCCAGTGTTGGAGCACCCGTAACTTCTGTAGGGAAGTTGTTCCACTGGTTAATTGTTCTCACTGTTAGAGTTAGGGGGAGGGGGCATTTTTTGCTGTAATTTTTGTCACAGATGCCAGGAATATGAAACAGTGTGTCCTCCTTCCCCCCCCCCCATTTGTCCTCCTTTTGAAGTGTTCATGTCCTCCATTACCTGCTCAGCTACCTGGTACCCCAAGCACAGACTCTCCCAAACAACAAATCCACCTCAATTTGCTGCCCAAAACACGTCTTCATTTGCAACAAACCTCATATTGAATCCAAAATGAAAAAGGACAAGTTCAGCAGGAGGCATGATACTTAGAGTCTTCCCCATCAGAAGTGAGGAATCTTCGTCCTTTAGCAGATGGGACAATTGAACGAAGCAAAGCAAAGCAGATTTAGAATGGGGTTTATTTGATAACCTGGCATTAGGAGGGTTTTGAGAACTGAAGATATCAGCAGATGTGGGAAGTTAGCCCCCCCCCAGAGAAGGAAATATTAAAAGGGCAGAAAAAATATATTTCCTCAGGATCTTGAAGAGGCAGGAAAGCATGCCCAGTTTTCTTAATAGCGCCAAGTCTGCCTCCCCAAGCAGAAACCAGCTCTATAGAAAAGCAGATGCAGACCATTCAGGAAAGTTGAAGCTAGAAGATTAAGAAGACAAAGACCTAAAATCTGCATACATCACCTAAACGCTAAGAATCATTAGCCCAGCCCCAGGGAAGCAGGATATGACCTTTGGGACATAATAGGATTAAACCACAGGTACCAAGCCCCAGAAAAGCACACTCAGACTCAGTTCAAAGTTCATGCCACAGGAACAGGAAACAACTCAAAACGAAAGGCTCCAGAGGGTATAAAAACCCACTCCCTACATGTGTTCCCTCTCTTTTCTGCCAGAGCCATCTTTCTGTCTGGCTCTCCTCTCCAACAAACTATAACCTTCTTCCCAAAGCAGTTGCCATGTTTATTCCCAGCTTGGATGAACCAGGATGAAGACTTTTCTTCCAACACAGAACATAGAGCTCCTTTTCTTATTATCAGGGCTTTTTTTTTTTTTTGGTCATAGAACGCCCAGAATGGAGTTCCGGCACCTTTTTTGGATGGAACCTTGTAGGTTAGGCAAGACGGGTTATATGACGTGTGTGAGTTCTGGCACCTTTTTTTTTTTAGAAAAAAAGCACTGCTTATTATTATTATTATACATTTTATTAGATTATAGAGTAAAATACAAAATACAAAGCAAATAGTAGGACACAGTGGGGAGGGAAAAAGGAAAGAAAAGTGAGCGGGAGAAGGGAGAAAGAAAAAAAAGGCATTGACTTCCGACTTCCTCTGTTGCAGTAGAGCAGGGGTAGGCAACCTTGGCTCTTTTATGATTCATGGACTTCAACTCCCAGAATTCCTGAGCCAGCCATGCTGAGGGGAAAGGGAGAGGTTTCCAAGCTGAGCCATGCTGGCTCAGGAATTCTGGGAGTTGAAGTCCACGAGTCATGAAAGGGCCAAGGTTGCCCACCCCTGTCCTAGAGGGAGCTGGGCTGTGTGGTTAGCATAAACTTAGACCAGGGGTAGGCAACCTTGGCTCTTTTATGACTTGTGGACTTCAACTCCCAGAATTCCTGAGCCAGCATGGCTCAGCTTGGAAACCTCTCCCTTTCCCCTCAGCATGGCTGGCTCAGGAATTCTGGGAGTTGAAGTCCACGAGTCATAAAAGAGCCAAGGTTGCCTACCCCTGCAGTAGAAGGAAGCATTAACATCGAACCTCAACTTTTAACTTATAAACTAGCTATTTCTATAACAAGCAATCAATCTAATCAATAAAACCCAAAATCAAAGTTTCATTTCTTTTTACCTCAAGCATAAAATCCAGAAGCAGTCTCCAGGTAGAAACAAAAGCACTTCTATTCTTTTCTTTAATCAAAACGGTCAATTTAGTCACCTCAGAACTCCTGAGACATGGTCTCAACTGAAGATTTAGTCTTGCTGGTGGTTAAGTTCTGGCTGTTGTCTTCGGTAAAGGCATTCTCAAAAACCGAAAAGAGGGACAGTCTCAGTCTCTTTTTGAAATCCTGACCCATGAAGACATACAAAATGGGGTTGAGGCAGCTGTTGACGAAAGCCAAGCTTGTTACCAAAGGAATACCGATCCTCATCGTCGTTTGCATCCCTGAATGCATTGTTAACTCAATGAAAGAAAAAACATGATAAGGGAACCAGCAGACAAAAAAGACAACAATCACAGCGGTGATAACCTGAAAAGGTTTGTTAGACTTAGACAACTGGCTGCCTCTCAATCTCAAGACAATCGCTCCGTAGCAGACAAGAATAACAGTGAAGGGAATGACAAAGGCACAGATGAACCGCATGATGATCGTTGCCTGATGCCTGATCTTTTTAAGCTGTGGGTTGTCACCATAATTGGTATAGCAGTTAATATGGTTCTCTTCGACTGGGGCTGTTTGCCTAAAATACATCACTGGAACACTCAAAGCCAAGGCCAGGATCCACACACCCAAGGCCACAAAAGAAGCCAGACGCGGTGTTCGGTGATTCTGAGCCCAGACCGGATACCTGACAGAAATGCAACGGTCAATGCTGATGACCATGAGGAGATAAACACTGGCATAGAGGTTGAGAAAGGCCAAGGTGCTGTTCAACTTGCACAAAAACCAGCCAAAGGGCCAGTGGAATCTCAGGGCTAAATAAGCAACGCTCAGAGGAAGGAAGAAGGTGAAGGCAAAGTCAGCAATGGCCAGGTTGAGGAACCAGACCGTGTTGACGGACTTCTTCATTCGGAAGCCAGTGATGAAGATGACCAGCCCATTGCCAAGGACCCCCAGCACAAACGCCAGACTGTAGATCACCATGGAGATAACGTGCAGTGCTCTTTCCAATTTATAGGTCGGATCGTCATAATCGTAGTAATATTCATACTCCGCAGACTGATTCAAGTCTGAGGCGTCAAAAGTTGTGTTGCTCATTCCTTCTGATAAAAGACTGGTGGCTGTTGCTCCTTTTCCTAAAAGCAAAAACAGAGGAATGTGTGAACTGATGTGTGGCAGAAAAATAAGAACAAGCAATTTTGGGTATTTTCTGGCCTATAAGGCGACTCGGCATATAAGATGACCCCAACTTCGGCACCAATTTCTATGCCTAGAAAGTTGTCTTATATGCCATAAAATACGGTAGTTGCAGGCCATACCTAATATTTGAGTCTCTGGAAGATTTTAAAAATGGATTTAGATTTTAAAGAATTTTTAGGTGGAAAGGGGGTGTTTCTCTCATATATGTATCTATATACACATACATGTATGCACACACAAACACACACACACACTCACACACAAACATATTTTAAGGGAAAAAACATAAACAGAAAACCATGTGCTTCAAGTCAACCTACTTCACCCCAGTTTGATAGGTGATGGATTTATCAACCATTGAGTTTAAATATAGTGGGGATGCTTACATATTAATCTCTAAGCATCCCCACTATATTTAAACTCGTTAATTAATATCCACTTAATAATATTAATCTCTAAGCATCCCCACTATATTTAAACTCGTTAATTAATATCCACTTAATATTAATCTCTAAGCACCCCCACTATATTTAAACTCATTAATTAATATCCAATTAATAATATTAATATCTAAGCATCCCCACTATATTTAAACTCAATGGTTGACAAATCCATCACCTATCAAACCGGGGTGAAGTAGGTTGACTTGAAGCACATGGTTTTCTGTTTATGGTTTTTCCCTTAAAATATGTTTGTATGTGAGTGTGTGTGTTTGTGTGTGTATATATACATGTATGTGTGTGTGTATATATACATACATATATGCAGTGCTTTTTTTGTAAAAAAAAAAAAAGGTGCCGGAACTCACACACATCATACAACCCGTCTTGCCTACCCTACAAGGTTCCATCCAAAAAAAGTGCCGGAACTCTGTTCTGGGCGTTCTATGAGAAAAAAAGCCCTGCATATATGAGAGAAACACCCCCTTTCCACCTAAGAAATCCTTAAAATCTAAATCTGTTTTTAAAATCTTCCAAAGCCCCACATATTAGGTATGGCCTGGAACTACCAACAGAATAACAGACTTGGAAGGGACCTTGGAGGTCTTCTAGTCCAAATCTCTGCTCAAGCAGGAGTCATTTCTATACATGTACAGAGTCTCCTGCTTGAGCAGGAGATTGGACTAGAACAGGGCTTTTCAACCTTTTCACCCATTGTACCACTTTTAGGATAGGACAACATCTGAGGACCACCATCGCCTAACAAGGTGTCAAAACCTGGATGACCCCCCCCCAAAAAATGAAAAAAGTGATAAAGTACAGGTAGTCATCGACTTACAACAGTTCGTTTAGTGACTGTCTGAAGTTACAATGGCACTGAAAAAAGTATCCCCCAAGCCACAGCCGAGCAAGATGCCTGCCTGCCCGCCCGGCGGCGCTCTTCCTCCTGTCCGAGGTTTTCATTGTTGTGACCATTTCTGTTGAGGATTGGCAGCGGGGGTGGGGTGGGGGGTGTTTGGTTTTTATTCCCCCCGTCTGTTGGGTGGTTGCAGCAGGTTTTGGTCACTTCACATGACCCTGGGATACTGTGACCGTCATAAATATGAATCAGTTGCCAAGCATCTGAATGTAAATCATGAGACCCTGGAGAGGCTGCAACATTCCAGCTGATTGGCACTTCTTCGGGACTCAGCAGAAGCCCCAGGATCAGCACCGAGCTCCAGCTGGAGCCTGGCGCTGATCCTGGCACTTCCACTGAGCCCTGACAGCCCTGCAGCTTCAGCCATCTCTCACTCAGGCTTGTGCGGTGCTGCCATCAGTTCAGCTCATTCCCCTCCCCCGCTACCACTTTTCTAGGATGGTCGCGTACCACCTGCTAGGAGCCAATGTACCACAGGTGGTACCCATAACTGGCTGAAAAGTCCTGGACTAGAAGACCTTCAAAGTCTTTGTGTCCAATCCCTCCTCCTCCTCCTCTTCTTCCCTCTTCCTTCCTGTTACTTGGTGGAAACATGGCAGCCATTAGTCCCAAGACTCTTTCTCAGCATCAAGACATCCCCTCTTTAGTTTGGTTTTTTTTTGTTTGTTACATCCAAAGTCAACCAGGGCACCCTTGCCAAGGTAAGTCAGGTCACAACAAAACGATGCAGGATGACATCAAGGCAGGATATGTGGGTGGGTGGAGGTCTTACCCAAGACAGGAAATAATTGTTTACTATATTATCTATTTCCCTTAGTTCGCTGGAAAGAAGCGAACAGAAGGGAGATTAGGAAATCTTGGTCGTCTTGTTGCAACATCTTTTGTCTTTTAAACGGATCAAACAACAGCGGGGGGGGGGGTGTTGGTTGGAACCTGACAGCTAAGAAAAAGCACAAGGCTTTTTGAACATAGGCATCACCTGTCAGCCCTCCAGGTAAAATGGACAAGAAAAGGCCAGATAAACAAATTCTACTTTATTTTAAGGCTTCATAGTAGAATGTTGCAAGTCCAAATGTACGCATTTCCTTGGGGTCGCTTTTAACTGCTTAACCCAGGGGTAGTCAACCTTGGCTCTTTTATGACTCGTGGACTTCAACTCCCAGAATTCCTGAGCCAGCATGGCTCAGCATGGAAACCTCTACCTTTCCCCTCAGCATGGCTGGCTCAGGAATTCTGGGAGTTGAAGTCCATGAGTCATAAAAGAGCCAGGGTTGACTACCCCTGGGTTAACCCATTAGGAAAGTTTCTCCCTAAAGTTTCTTTCTCTAAGAGCTGCTTAAGAGGAAAAGGAGAAGGTGAAGAAGACCTGTCCAGGGAACATAAAGATTTGGGATTTATCTGGCACTGTAGAACTTATATCAAGGCTGACTCAGCCTTCCATTCTTCCGAGGTTGGTAAAATGAGGACCAGATTGTTGGGGGCAATAGGCTGATGTTGTAAACCACCCAAAGCACTCTAGATCGATATATAAGTGCTATTGCTAGATCTGAGATTTAATTTTTTTAAAAAATGCATTGGTGCATAAGTTAGGCAGAGCACAAAAAAGGAATAAGAAAGACCAAAGAAACCCAGTCAAATCAAATCAAATCAAATCAAAGGAATTAAAGGGATGAGAAAGAACTGGTGTAGTCCAATCAGCACTATTCACTTCACAAGTCTAAATTTTGTCATACTTGGAAACTAACCTTCATTGCACCAGGATCCATATAGTCTGTTAGACCCACCTTTGAGTCAAAACACTAGCTATATCTCCTGTCTCATGGAATGGAAGCAACAGTATGTTGGCTTTTAAGGCATTTCTAGATTAAGGATGCCGGCTTGCATAGAATAGCCTGAGCATGCTGTGGATACAACTGAAGCCCAGTTGACCCAGTCGTGTCCAAACAATCCAGAATTTTCCTCTTGTTAGCAGGGAATAGCTCAGCTGTGATTTCTCTACCTTCCCAGGAAGCATTGCATGAAATCCATTTGCATTTAGTGATTTAAGTTGAGGGTCTCTCTTTTTTCATCGAGTATTATGGCACTCCGTTATATCCTAAGATCCCATTTCTAAAGGAAAAAGTTTAACTATCCTTCACCCCAGAAGGGGTCTGGATGCTAAAACATATGAAGAATGTTTGCAGGAATTGGGTATGTCTCGTCTAGGGGAAAGAAGGACTGGGGGGGGGACATGACAGCAGTGTTCCAATATCTCAGGGGCTGCCCTAAAGAAGAGGGGGTCAACCTATTTTTCAAAGCACCTGAAGGCAGGACAAGAAGCAATGGATGGAAACTCATCAAGGAGAGAAGCAACCTAGAACTAAGGAGAAACTTCCTGACAGTTAGAACAATTAACCAGTGGAACAACCTGCCTCCAGAAGCGGTGAATGCTCCAACACTGGAAGTTTTTAAGAAGAGCCTGGACAGCCATTTGTCTGAAAGGGTGTAGGGTTTCCTACCTGAGCAGGGGGTTGGATTAGATGACCTCTAATGAGATGGCTGGATGGAGTCCCTGAAGCAGTAGGTGTGAGCTTCAATGGACTCCAGAAGATGGTAGAGGACAGGAAGACCTGGAGGAACGTTGTCCATGGGGTCGCGATGGGTCGGACACGACTTCGCAATTAACAACAACAAGATCCATCCCAACTCTATTATTTTGTTATTCTGTCACCTCAGTCATGGAATTTTGTTCTTGTGCATGGTAACTGCAGCAAGATTATTGTCCGTACAAAGATGGAAAGATTTGGCACTTCCCATAATGGAGGAATGATGAAAACAATGGAACTTGCTGAGATAGCTACATTGACTTCTTTGATTAGGGAAGAGAACTTCTCCATTTTGCTGGACTGGGAAACCCCTTATTAGCCTTTTGCGTAAAATAGAAAGGGAAAAAAACCCTTATGTTTTAGGATAGATTATAGCAGTGGTTCTCCACCTGTGGGTCGGGACCCCATTTGGGGTCGAATGACCATTTCACGGGGGTCGCCAAACCACGCTGTCCGCCATTTTTTCCTTTTTCCCTAGCTGTCCTACTCCCTCTTATTGGTGGCCACACCCACTTGGGGGTCACCACAACATGGGGAACTGTATTATGGGGTCGCGGCATTAGAAAGGTTGAGAACCACTGGATTATAGAAAGTCAAGTTGTAACCACAGAGTAAGAGGCAAACTGATCATTATACTCATCACTGCTATAAAGCAGATCAAAAGCAACCTTTTGATATTGTTTTCCTTTCTTTTCTATTTTTGTCCTGTACTTCCCCCCCCCCCCTTTCTCCAATTTTTCTTGGAACACTTCCTTTTTCTTACTTGATACTTGCTTGTATTACTTCTTATTTTACCTTCTTTTAAAAATCTTTAATAAAAATCATATAAAAAGAAATATTTCTGACCTTAAGGGAAAGAAGTATCCTCTCCCTTCCTTGCCTCCTGGGAGATGTGGTCTTCTGATAGCAAGCCAGAAAACAGAACTGACGCTAGATGGGCACAAGCAAAGAGTAGACTCTCCTTTTTTCCCCCACCCCACCTCTATTACTTCATCAGATGCAAAGTTCCGCTGTCCTTCTTCCTTCCTCTTCCTTCCTTCTTCTTCCTTTTTTCTTCCTTCTACTTTCTTCCTTCTACCTTCTTCCAGTAAAAGAGATCATCACAAAAAAAGCACAGAGAAATGGCTATGCATGGACTATATTTGAACCATGCTACATATCATCCGACAATTTCTACACAACAGGGAAATTGGCGGGAGCTTAGAAGGCATGGTGGAAAACACTGTGGTTAACAGCAGAGGAAAATATTATTCCATTGTTGCATACACTTTCTGTAAAGTGTTTGAAGTTTCCTAAACGACCTGTTCCAGTCTGCTCTGTTTAATAATAATAATAATAATAGTAAAGTTGGAAGGCACCTTGGAGGTCATCTAGTCCAACCCCCTGCTCGGGCAGGAAACCCTACACCAGTGTTTCTCAACCTTGACAATTTTAAGGCATGTGGACTTCAACTCCCAGAATTCCACAGTCAGCATTGCTGGCTGTGGAATTCTGGGAGTTGAAGTCCACATGCCTTAAAATTGTCAAGGTTGAGAAACACTGCCCTACACCATTTCGGACAAATGGCTGTCCAGGCTCTTCTTAAAAACTTCCAGTGTTGGAGCATTTACTGCTTCTGGAGGCAGGCTGTTCCACTGATCAATTGTTCTCACTGTCAGGAAGTTTCTCCTTAGTTCTAGGTTGCTTCTCTCCTTGATTAGTTTCCACCCGTTGCTTCTTGTCCTGCCTTCAGGTGCTTTGGAGAATAGCTTAATTCCCTCTTCTTTATGGCAGCCCCTGAGATATTGGAATACTGCTATCATGTCCCCCCCCCTTGTCCTTCTCTTCGTTCAACTAGACATACCCAATTCTAGCAACCGTTCCTTATATTTTTTAGCCTCCAATCCCCTAATCATCTTTGTTGCTCTTCTCTGTACTCTTTCTAGAGTCTCAACATCTTTTTTACATCATGGTGACCAAAACTGGATGCAGTATTCCAAGTGTGGCCTTACCAAGGCATTGTGGAGTGGTATTAATACTTCACGTGACCTTGATTCTATCCCTCTGTTAATGCAGCCTAGCACTGTGTTGGCCTTTTTGGCAGCTGCAGCACACTGCTGGCTCATATTTAGGTGATTGTCTACTAGGACTCTGAGGTCCCTCTCACAGTTACTACTATTGAGCATGGTGCCACCTATGCTGTACTTGTGCATTTGGTTTTTCTTGCCTAAATGTAGAACCTTGTTTGACAATACCCACACTAGAATTCACTGAATGAATCAACATTATTCTTCATTTGATTAACATCATTCTAATCTCATCAAAAGTACATCATCCATCCAAAGGGCCATTCATTCTTAGATAATTCTCACTGTTGGCAATTCTTGGACTTTGGGCCAATCACCCAGGGGACCGTGAGTTCTAGTCCCAGCTTAGGCATGAAAGTTGACTGGGTGACCTTGAGCCTTTCAATCTCTTTCAGCCCATGAAGCAGACAATGGCAAACCACTTCTAAAAACTTGTCTAGAAAACTGCAAGGACGTGTCCAAGCAAGGACCAGGAATCAATAATGACACAAAGGTGCACAAGGCCATCGTCATCAGCCATTCAGTCATTTCCGTCCTTTGGCCACTCTATGGATCAGCACTCTCCATGTTCTTCTGTCTTGCACCGCCTCCTTCAGATTCACCATGGTCATCTCAGTGTCATCTTTTATAGTATCCAACCAGGTGGCCCCTTCATTTTCTGCTGATCATTCCCAGCATGATTGACTTTTTGAGTGAATCAGCTCTCATGACATGACCAAAGTATGACAGCCTCTGTTTGGCGATCTTCGCTTCAAGTGATATTTTTGGTCAGGTTCAGTCTAGAGCTTTCTTTGTCAAGGTTGAAGCATGCATGACATTGCCACCATTACTGCTTCTCAGTTTGCCAACGCACTAGGGGGAAGGAGAGGAAGAAATGGAATGCAGGCTCCAGACAACAAGAAGTAAAGCCGTGGGAATCAAGGACGTTCCAGCAGGTGTTTGCCAACCCACAGAGACACTTTCTCATAACAATATTTTGACACTTGACTGGATAATGAGACCTGCACTAATAGGGGGAGGGAGAATTCTATATTTTAATTATAGTGATTTGCGTGAGAAATAATCAGAGCTGGTTTTGCTTTCATTCATGCCAAAATGATGTACTCACTAACGTTTTGCATTAAGAGATTGGAGCATCTAATTGGTGCTTACACAGTTGGATTCATCAGTCAGAACCTTGACATCTTTGTTATTTTTGCAGTCTTTGGCAGGAGTCCCCAACCCCAGGCCACAACCATGGCCCATTTGGAACTGGGCTGTGCAAGTGACAGGCAAGCATGTTCATGCACACAGTCCCACATGTGCAAGTCTTGGATGCATGTGAGCACACTCTTGAGTGGAACCATCCCTCTCCCCCCCCCATTGCCACCGTCACTGGTCCGCAAAGCTGGAAAGGTTGGGGACCACTGGTCTATGGTGTGTGTAGTGGTCACCGCCAGCACCACAGTTCAAAGATGTCCACCCTTCTCCTATCTTTTTCAGAGTCCAGGTTTCTTAGCCATAAGTAGCAATTGGGGAAAAAATTGTGTGAACTAATATGTGTTTGATTGCTTGTGAGTCTGATGTTTTTACTCTTCCAGAGGTTATTCATGCCAGATATTGCAGTTCTTACAAGTGCTTTTGTGTATGTTTGTGCACACACAAATAGCAGTTTAAGATACCACTAGTTCTACCTGTTGTTTGGTTTTGTTGCAAGAGAGCATGGTTCTTCTGGAAAGTTTTGGTTGTTATGTACATCCCTATTTATAGTTCGGAAATGTTTGTGCAATTTTTCAAACTGATGCATGCCATCCTGAATTTAGTCATATCATATTTTCTCACCAAATTATTACAACTATAGCAGATTTGCAAATAATAGAAAACTGCTGATTTCAACAGATAACTTTTTACAAATAAGAACAGACTGTCTTGAAGAGATGACATCAGCAGCTTATTTGCTGATGCCTTTACATGTCAGATGCAAAAAAGTTACAATCAAGTGGGAATTACCATTACTGATTACTGGCATAGTTTGGGATAGTGATCCTGCACCTTTAGCAGAAACTTTATTTTTTCTTCCTAGGGGTCCATACAAGAATGGGAAAAAGTGGAATCATAATCTACCCATTTAGTTTAGTGTTGCCTACCCCAACTCACACACTTGGGTGTATGTGATTTTTGGCTCTCTGGTCTGGAAGTTAGGGAGACAAAATTTGGAACTCTTGGTTAGAAAGGCTGTTTCAGGAGGAAAAGAGCAGTCAGATTGAGCTAGTGCTTCCAAGCATGAAAGTTTTTTTGAAATGGAAAGAAGGGAAAGAAGGAGGGAGGGAGGGAGGGAGGGAGGGAAGGAAGGAAGGAAGGAAGGAAGGAAGGAAGGAAGGAAGGAAGGAAGGAAGGAAGGAAAGAAAGAAGGAAAGAAAGAGAGAACATTTGTAGCTGTGGGGTCACTGGGGCTCCCTAAGCTTAGATGTTTTCTTACAGACATTTAATTACCCAGCTAGATAACAACATCAGTGCACTGTGCAGTGATGTTACCTAGTTGGGTAATGAAACATCTACAAAAACAACCAAACTTGGAGAGGAGAGGAGAGGAGAGGAGAAGAGAAGAGAAGAGAAGAGAAGAGAAGAGAAGAGAAGAGAGGAGAGGAGAGGAGAGAAGAGAAGAGAAGAGAAGAGAAGAGAAGAGAAGAGAAGAGAAGAGAAGAGAAGAGAAGAGAAGAGAAGAGAAGAGAAGAGAAGAGAAGAGAAGAGAGGCAGAGGCAGAGGCAGAGGCAGAGGCAGAGGCAGAGGAGAGAGAGGGGGGCAGACAGACAGACAGAGACACATACAGAGAGAGAATCTGTTTAAAGCTGCTTCTATAAAATCTCCCATAAACATAGGTGATTCAAAAAGGGGGAAAAACAGAAAAGTGAATCTCAGTAAATCCAGCTTGGAAGCTCTCCAATATATTTCATTGGTAGCAAACCCTTAGCAACCATGAAAAATATTAGGAGTCGGATAAGGCAGCCAGAAGAAGGTTGAAGATGGGACAAAGGATGAACTCACTTCAACACAACCTAAGCCCCGAATGAGACAATGTCTTGCAGCTTTAGAAGGAGATTAGAGAAGCACATGGAAGAGAGACATGTGAACATGAAAACATCAGGAGCAGAGGTTTTGTCTCAGTGGCAGGGAACAAGGTGTGTTCTTTGAGTTTTACTTGTGAGCTTCTTGGAACAATCTGTTGGGCCAACAAGTGAAACAGGACAGTCAGGTGGACTTTTTATTTGACTCATCAGGACACGTCTTACGTTCTTCTCACCAATAACAGCGTCTTCCATCCTGGGTCTGCAACCGAAGGAGAAAGAGGAGACAACAAATAAACCTCAGAGTTGGCCTTACAATGAAACTAAGGCAACTTTCTGGCAGCCCAATATTTCCTATGGCTAAATGTTTCAATTCCCCACAAATTAGGCGGCACCCACCCCTTCAAAATAGGCACTGTCTTCCCCAGTTAATATCACTAATCAAGGCTTTGTTACTGGCCATGGATTTTGGGGTGCGACCAATCAAATGGAAGGTGTGATCTTGAGGAAGGCTAGTTTGGGAGGTGTGTTAATTCATTTGCTATTTGCCTTTTAGCAGAAGAAGCCATTGCTTTTCAACCCAACTGTGTATTTTCAGAGTCTCAACAGAGATCACTTCCTGAGGCAAAGAAGGAAGTCCAAGACGTTTCTGCAATTTGAAAAGCAGAAGTGCTATTTGCGAGGGGGAAGCATGTTCATTTGCACCTGCTTGTCAAATACAATCAACAGTTTTACAGAATTACAGAAGAATAGAGTTGGAAGGGAACTTGGAGGTCTTCTAGTCCAACCTCTCCCTAAGCAGGGGACTCTATACTGTTCTGGACCAATGGCCGTTCAGTTTCTCCTTGAAAACTTCCAGTCATGGAGCACCCACAACTTCTGGAGGCAAGCCCTTCCACTGATTAATTGTTCTCACTGACAAAAAAAAAATCTCCTTCATTCTACATTGTTTGATTTTGCATTGACCCTCATGAATAAATTCTTACCAAATTCTTTTCAATCTCTTAGCTGGAATCATTATCAACAATTTGTAGTCCTTATTCAGTAATGATATTGGTCTACAGTTTCTCATTAAAGTCAAATCCCGTCCCTCTTTATGTATTAGTGCTATGTAGTCCTCTGTCTAATTCTCTGGCATTTTTCCCTCCCTCTAAAACAGTGGTTCTCAACCTGTGTGTTGGGACCCCATTTGGGGTCGAACGACCATTTCACGGGGGTCACCAAACAAGGCTGTCCACCATTTTCCCCCCCTTTTCTTTGGCCATGGCCCTGGCACCCGGTGATGTATAAGTGGTTGGGGGTCACCACAACATGGAGAACTGTATTATGGGGTCGTGGCATTAGAAAGGTTGAGAACCACTGCTCTAAAATAAAATCCATTTTGTTTTTGCAAAGGTTGTAAAAGTTCGTCCTCAAAACACTTAAAATAAGAAGCTAATAATCCATCTGGTCCCAGCATCTTTCATAGATTAATCTTTTTATGGCTTCAGAAACTTCCCTTATTGTTATAGATCCATTCATAATATGTTTCGCTTCCTCTGTGATCCTCAGTAAATTTTATTTCTTTAGATAGTTATCTATTTTCTCCAGAAGGATGTCACTTCCTTTATACAAGTTAGAATAATATTTAATGTAATGCTTTTTTATAGCCACGTTATCTATTAATACAGTATCTTTCTCTTGTAATTTCCATATCAATATATTTTCTATTTTTCTTTTATTTTTTTCCCCTATCTTGGGAAAAGAATTACTTCTAGTGTTGTTTCTGATTTCATTTTTTCTTCTTTTAATTTATACTGTGGTACCTTGGTACTCAACTGCTTTGAAACTCATCAAATTTGGTACTCAAATGTATTTTGACGTGAACATTTTGTCCCGGTGTTCATTGTTTGTTTGGTATTTAATGCACAAGCTACAACTTTTTATTGTCAGCTGCCTTGCGACTCACTACACGTTCCTTCCCTCCCATCCAGGACATAGCACAGAAACGTTGCTTGAGCAGGGTCTGTAAGATTATCTGGGACACTACACATCCTCTTCACGACCTGTTTTCCTTGTTCCCTTCTGGGAGGAGGCTTCATGGTATCCATAGCAGAACATCCAGATTCAGCCATAGTTTCATTCCATACAGCATTAACCTTGTGAACTCTCAAGCTTCCTCCTTCCGTTATATATTCAAGATGGACAGTATTTAATATTTATTTGTTACGTATATGTAGGGGTGTGGGTCTATACATATGTTGTATATAGTATGTTTAGGTGTGTGTCATGTGTGTGTTTCACTTTGAGAGCAGGCAACTAAATTTCATTTTTTGATGTGTGCCGTTGTGCCCACAGTAAAAAAAATGACAATAAAGATTATCTTCTCTTCTCTTCTCATCTCATCTCATCTCATCTCATCTCATCTCATCTCATCTTATCTTATCTTATCTTATCTTACCTTAACTTACCTTATCTACATTATTCGTTATGGGAAAACTTTGTCTGATACTTACCATTTTTGATACTCCTCATGCTTCCCCAAATCTACTAACAGGTACCATTGTATTAATATGTGTTAGCTTTTATCCTACTTTTTCAATTTATATATGAGCTTAAGTTCACTCTGATGTTCAGTGACAAGATCTACTGCTTGTCACTAGAAATTGGAACGCCACTATTGGTAAAACTAAGAAGGAAAACGTAGTTGGATTATATATGCCATAAGAAACAGAAATGAAGCTGAATAAGTTAACAGTTGGTGCCATTCTGATGATTTCTTCTTTGTTAACACATTCTTCACAAAACAAAATCAAATCAAATCAAGTCTTTATTACAGTCATAGACCGCCATATTTACACAACAAAAAAGCCACCTATCTACATATACTGTACATCATCAGACAAAGCCCACAGAAGTCAAGCTCACTTTTATTACTGCCATCAGGAAACACAGTTATAACAGCCAGGATATGACCAGGGATATAACGGTGGAATAGAGGAAAAATTGTTTATCTGAAAATTCCAAGTCAAACTAAAGCAGAACATTTTCCACGATATGATTTTTGAACCTATCAAAAATCACTTTGAACAAGAGCCCTGGTGGCACAATGGTTTGAATGCAGTATTGCAGGCTGACTCTGCCCACAGCCTGGAGTTTGATCCTGACCGGCTCAAGGTTGATTCAGCCTTCCATCCTTCCAAGGTCAGTAAAATGAGGATCCAGGTTGTTGGGGACAATGTGCTGATTCTGCTCAGAGAGTGCTATAGAAGTCTAAAATGTAAGTCTAAGTGCTATTGCTAATATACACTATACATTTTCAAGAATAACATCAGAAATCCCTTTGAAATCCTGAAGCCACTGACAGGGAATTAGAGGAACTTTGGAATTAAATCAGTGGGATTGTTAAGGGTGAATGAGAAAACAGATGATCAAAGACCAAGAAACAGAAGAAACTGCACTAAATGTGGAGTAGCTGTTAAATTAGCAGCAGGATTAAAGACATGAAAAACAGAAACAGACATTGAAAACCAAGGGAAGTCTTCCACGTGTTTCCAAACTCAGAAGGACGTTCTGACCTCAAATTGGTAAGTCAAAGGATACCAATGAGCAGATAGTAACCGATTCAAAGAAAATAAAGATATAAAGGGGTATACACTGAAAATCAGTAAAAATTCTAATAAAACTATGCAACAATTCTAGAGCATGACTCAGTGACCTGCAAACTGGAAAACATCAATCTACATTCCAATACCAAAGATGGGAGACTTAACCACGTCTGCAAATTATTTCAATGTCCTTTATTTCGTACGCTAGTACAATAATGCTTGAGATCATCTAATGCAGATTAAAGCCCTACATGGAACGGAAGATGCCAGATGTTCAAGCTCATTTTTGAAAAGGCAGAGGACCAGAGACATTATTACTGGTGCATGCTGAATAACTGAGAAAGCCTAAAGGAAATCAGTATGTGCTTTATATATATACATTTTTTTTAGATTGCTAACAAAGAATAAAGGGAGAACTGGAATAGCTATTTTGAGTTTCTTAACTCTCTTCAGCCAGACTTACCCTTCTGAGATTCAAACCTGGGCTGTGTGCATGTTAGGCATATAACATATATATATATATGTAGGTCTTTGGTTATTCGGGTTTTCTCCCACGTAAAATTGGAAGTGTCTTGGCAACATTTTGACGAAGTCCCATTCGTCTGGCAAAGTGAGAAAGAGCCTGTGGCCTAGAAGTTAAACACAGCTGCTTAACATGCAGACAGCCCAGGTTCAAATCTCAGAAAAGGTATGTCTGGTTGATAAGAATTAAAAAGTTCGAAATAGCTATTCCAGTTCTCCTTTAATTCTTTGCTAGCAATCCATATATATTATATATATCAGTATATATATATATATATATATATATCATATATATATATATATATATATGTAGGTCTTTGGTTGTTCGGGTTTTCTCCCACGTAAAATTGGAAGTGTCTTGGCGACGTTTCGATTCGAAGCTTCGTGTCGAGCAGCATTTGTCTTTTAATGCCTATGAACAGAGCTGGCTGTGTCTGATTGGGTGGAGGTGTTCAGCTTCGTTGCTGTGCTCTGATTGGCTTCTGAAGCACGAAGCTGAAGACACCAGCCTGAAGATGACGAATGGGACTTCGTCGAAACGTCGCCAAGACACTTCCAATTTTACGCGGGAGAAAACCCGAACAACCAAAGACCTACATACAAATACCCGCGAAAACCTCAGAAAACTATATATATATATATATATATATATATATATATATATATATATATATATAGAGAGAGAGAGAGAGAGAGAGAGAGAGAGAGAGAGAGAGAGAGAGAGAGAGAAAGGACAGGATAGGAATCCATCTTCTGAGTAAGTAAAGGAGACAAGACTTTATATTCCATCCTTATTTATTCAAAGTACATACTATATATATATTGAAGGTGGCTTTTCTGGAAGAAGATGAGGGTGGTTTTAAAACTTTAGAATCAACAACAATTTGCACTGTGCTGATGGCCTTACTCTGATAACGGAGAACCCATATGATCTGCAAGCTCTTGTAATAAAAGTCAAGGAGCACAGGTTGAGGCCAAGATTAAATAGAAAGAAAACTGAACTAAAAACAATAGATACAAGTCTATGGAGATTCTCAGTCATCCAGGTCATGGTTATCTTAAAGGTGCTTTTTCAAAAGGCAGTTGGACTGTTTTTCCTTGAGGGAGATGTTTCACCATCCCAGAAGCTTCCTGAGTCGGAAATGAAGAAGCTTCTAGTTTGAGAAGCAAAACATCTTCCTCAAGAAAAAAACCAGTCCAGTTGCCTTTTGGAAAAGCACCTTTGAGATAACAATAGATACAACAACAAGCCTTGCAATTAACAAGGAAGGTACTGAAGTTATGGATCCTTTTTACGTTTCAAAATCAACTCACATTAGCAAAAGAGTCAGAAGTCAAGAAACACAATCGCAAACAAGCATTTGGTAAGGTAGTTGTCAACGCTACAAACGTTGGATGTTCTTGCTTTGACAACAGATGGAGATGCAGCCTTTTTCTTTCTTATACTGTACTCTTAGAATTAGATGATACTGGGGGAGGGGGAGGAATGTGATGGGAGTTAGTTAGATATACAATATTGTAATAAGAGCTGATAAAGCATGGCGGAATACAAACTGGGCAGAAAGCCAGCATTTCAAACTAATTGGAGAATGTGATTTATGATGGTTAGTTGTAGAAGGGAATTGTGCTTTGATCTATGTGTTGAAGGGAGGGGAAGTCAGATTTTGACTTCCATTGTGTACATGCCGAAGCTTTGCTGCTCGATTAAAGATTCTTTAAGGTAAACAATGCCTCAAAGTTCTTTGAAGAGTTTCATCTTTTGGAACCATGACATTAGCAAGGAAATCTTTGCAAAAGATATTCAGATGCCATGATGTATATATCAATACAAAGGTCAAAATGATGCTGGGAGTGTTTTCCCTGTGACACTCTATGGAAGTGAACAATGGCATTTGAAGAAAGAGGATGGGAAGAAGAGAACTATCTTTTGAACTTTGGTGTTGGAGAAGACGACTGAGAATATCATGGATAGCCAAGAAAACAAAAAAAAAGAATCCTCAGAACAAATCAGCCCAGAGTTCTCATTCAAGACATAAATAAGCAGGCTGAAATTATTGCATTTTACAATAATCATGCAAAAAGCTAACTCCTTTGAGAAGTCCATGATGCTGAGCAATGTGGAAGGAAAGAGCAGAAGATGACCCACAGTGAGGAAGATGGACTCAGTGGTGGTGGGTGCACTGTTGGAAGACCTAAAGGACCAGAACAGATCATCACAAAGAAGATCTATCTGTGTGTTGGCTAGGAGATGACACCAACTTGATGGTACATAATCAATCAATTTATCAATCAATCAGTTAACACAAATCTATCTTATACTTAGACACGGCTGTTTGTAGCTACATGGTATAGTGTTGTATGTATACATCCTGTAGGTATGAATGATTAATGTTATCAGTATATATCTAAAACTCCTATTAGATAAAACTGCCAAGATTCAGAACGGGATGTTACAATCCCTTCATTTTGCAAGCACGCCACAATCCAAAACCATGATCATACAGTTATCTTTGATTAGTGGATCCCCGAAATCTACCAGGGAGATAGAGAGACCCTACAAGCTTGGAATCTCCCCCAGTTCTTCTTTAAAGAGAGTGACACTCTACCTCCACACTGGATTTGCTCTTGGTTAGGGTCTGCCCTGTGGTCTCATTGAAAGCACTCTCAAGAGCAGTCAAAATAGATGTCCGTAGCTTCTCCCTGAAGTCCTGTCCCACGAAGACATACAGGAAAGGGTTCAGGCAACTGTTGAGATAAGCCAAGCTTGAGGCCAAGGGTATTCCCACCATCAGAAAGGTCTGTAGTCCAGGTGTTACCCTGGCAGCGGACATCTCCAAGAAGGAAAAGACATGATAAGGGAACCAGCAGATGAAGAAGGCCACAACCACGGCCACCATGATCTTGAAGGGCCTGGTTGAGCGGGTGAGCCGAGTCCCCTTCAGCCTGACTGTGATAATGCCGTAGCAAAAAAGAATGATGACAAACGGCACTAAGAATCCAGCCACAAAACGGGTCATCACCAAGGTTTGAGCACGATACTCTCCCAGCTTAACAACCTCCTCTGACTGGAAACTGTCTGATAAGGCAAAGTTGTTGTAACAGTGAGTGATGTTCTCTTCCCCAGGAGAACCTTTAAGATCCCGGAAGACAAAATAAGGGGAACTGAGGGCCAAGGCGGCTATCCAAATGCCCAGGGCCACCAGAGAAGCCAGCTGAGGTGTCCGATGGTTCTGGGCCCAGACGGGGCACATTACAGAGACACAGCGGTCCATGCTGATGATGGTGAGGAGGAAGACGCTGGCGAACATGTTGAGGAAGGCCACCGTGCTGATGAGTTTACACAGCAGCTTCCCAAAGGGCCAATGGAAGCCCAGGGCTATGTAGGCCACACTCAACGGGAGGAAGGAAGTAAAGACCAAATCAGCAATGGCCAAGTTGAGGAACCAGACAGCATTCACGGTTCTCTTCATATGGAAGCCAGTGATAAAAATGACCAAGCTGTTTCCAGTCACCCCTAACAAGAAGGCTATGCTGTAGATCACCATGGAGAGTATGTGCATTGAGTTGAGGAGGCTTGCATTCTCCTCCAAATCAGGATAGTCCTCGTAATCTTCGTAAAGGCTTTCTGGAGACGTGGAGTTGGCGGCCATTTTGGTAGAAAAAAATCTGTTGGAAGGAAATAGGAAACGGTAGAGGATGGAAATATTACTTCACAAAGTTGGCACAAAATGGAGCTGTGGCTGTTTGACCAACTTTTAAAGCTATGGAACTACCCCAGGATCCTGTTATAAAATAAAATTTTATATTTTGTTTTATATCACCAGGCTAGAAACCAGCAGATGGTGAGTTCTAGTCCCATCTTAGGCATGAAAGTCAACTGGGTGACTTTGGGCCAATCACCAGGAGACAGTGAGTTCTAGTCCTGCCTTAGGCATGAAAATTGGTTGGGTGACTTTGGGTCAGTCACTCTCAATCGAACCCATACCACAAGGTTGTTAGGGCACTTTGAATGTTTGGATACCAATGGCAATATTCTTTAAACATCTGCAGTAAAAACGGAGCGTTTTCCCACATTCCAGAATGCTTTGCTGATAGGGATTTATGGAAGAGAACGTAGAGACAGCAGTAGGAGTCTTGGCGTGCAATATTGAGTCACAAGATGGCAGCAGAGCAACATCCTTTTAATCTAGAGGTAATGCCAGAGTGTGTGTTGTGCATTTTAACTTTTGCAAACTAATAATTCATCCCTCTAGCATCTATTTAATCCTTCAAATGAAACTTAATGTGGTATTCCCACTTTACGACCAGTTGCCCTTTCAAAACAAGAGTGTCCAGGAATTAATCATTTCTTTTGGCTCTTGTAACTAAAATTTAGTTAAAAACTATTTTATATTGTAAAATCTCCCAGAGATTTACTGCTCTTGGAATAATCTCAATGGCAGAACTGCTTTCACACCTAAAAGCTTATTATCTCATATGAACTGAAAACTCTTCCTCTGACTCCTTTCTGAGACCAATTAAATAAATGATAAAAGGCTGGGTTCATACAGGATAGGCTAACCTAACCTGGGGTTGGGCTGCTTGTGGGACAGTCAGCCATTATCTTTACTTGTTCGACACACCAGACCATCACACTAAGTGAGGATGTGGTCCAGCGTGGGGAGGAGGGATAATGTGCTATATGAACACCACAACTATTATAGGTGTTATTAATCCAAGTTCAGTATTTAGAACAGTCTTTGGCAACTTCAAGATGTGTGGACATCACCTCACAGAATTATTTTAGAGCAGTTGTTTTCCAAAGTTGGTAACTTTAAGTTGTGTTCTTGTGGAAAAATAAAGCCTTAAAAAGAAAAGGCTTTTACGAAATTCCATGGGTGAAAGAGAGATCTTTATTTTTGCGCAAAAAGGTTCAGAAGTGATTTAACCATCAACAAATTTCCGAACAAGGGGGAGGGTCTAAACTAAAGCTTTATAGGTTTCTTTCTCTCAGGAACAAAGGAAGCATAGATGGAATCTTACATTGTATATGAAATCTACTTTGTGTAACATTCAGATAGTTTCTCACACGTTAGGTCCATTTCTCATGGGAATACAATGAAGGCAGTTTTTACTTTTATACAATGTTTCTAAATATGCATTAGGTCATTCACATACTGTTAATACAGCTTTTGCTAACACAGCTTTCTTTTCAGAGATTATGCAGACACATGATTTTTTGCTTTTAGTGATTTTTCATTTTTATTATTTTACTTTATTCTTCTTTATTTTATGTTATTCTATTTCTTTCCCACTTTAGTGTAAACTCCCCGAATTCCTCATGCCCGCTTGCAGTTTGGTCTCGTGGTTAAGGCAACCAGGAGACAATGAGTTCTAGACCTGCCTTAGGCATGAAAGCTGGCAGGGGGATTTGTTTTGGGCCAATCACCTGGAGACTGGGAGTGCTAGTCCCGCCTTAGGCATGAAAGCTGGCTGGTGGACTTTGGGCCAATCACTAGGAGACTGGGAGTTGTAGTCCCACCTAGAAAGCTGGCTGGTGGACTTTGGGCCAATCACTAGGAGACTGGGAGTTCTAGTCCCACCTAGAAAGCTGGCTGGTGGACTTTGGGCCAATTACTAGGAGACTGGGAGTTCTAGTTCCACCTGAGGAATGAAAGCCAGGCCAACTCGCCTCACAGATTGTCGTTGGGAAAATAGGAGGGAGGAGTATTATGTATGTATTTCATTATTTGTAACCAAAATTTATAACGAAAGTAATAAAGGTGAGATCAAAAACAAATAAAATAAAAAGTAAGCCTTAGCCACCTTAAGACATATGAACTTCAACTCCCAGCATTCTTAAAATTGCCAAGGCTGATGGACACTCTTCCAGTGCAATAACTATCACCGAACAAGGGACCTGTGCAGCATTTATTGCGGTCACATTCTATTCCTGGCTGATTTTTTTTTCCCCTTAATTATTATATGTAACACTGGATTAAAGCCTTGTGCCTTTCCTAACCTCTTATTTTCCTTCCACGGAAGTTTTAATTTTCAAAACTCTGCATTCTTTCGGTTTCTTCCACCTTTGCTCACGGAATTAACATATGGACATTGGCAACCATTAACAGCCTGCTCGCTTGTTGCAGAAATAAAAACACATTGTAGCTGGATGTTCAGACCAGAAAAATGAGGATCAAATCCCCACCGGGCTAAGAACTTCAGTAAAACCTCTTTGCCTCTAGCGTCCTTAACCTAGTCTAACCTGCAGAGTTAATATGGAAGTAAAAACAAAGCCGCTGCCCCATTCGTTCTCCAGATCTGAGGAGAGCAAGATAAAATAGAATCACCAATATAAATTCTTGCTGAGTGGCAGCGCTGTGAAAAGAGAGTCTTACCTCGCAGCCGGGGTCTTCTCAAGTGTCTGATCCTTTCCAGGCTTCTTCAGTCTCTCAACCTCTAATTCCAAGGAATCTGTCATGCCCTCTGACGGCTTGAAAATTTATTGTGAAGTAGGGAGATTCACAGGTTGGCGGTGTGCATTTCTTAGGACGATGAAGAGTCCGGATGTGTGGCTAGAGGGAAGAGCCACTGTCCACAGACAGTTGCTCATTTTGGGATTGCCTGCAAAGAGTTGGCAGAGAGGCTGTGGGCAGGTTTAATTCTTTAATCCTTGGCCCAACAAGGAGCATGCTGTATCAGCGTTCATTGCCCACACACCATGCTGGACTCAGAAAGTCTCACTTGCCAGCCAGAGGCAAGGATATCCAAACAGATTAAATTATTCCAGAGAAGAAAGTGTGTACAGGAAGTCATTTCTCTGTGGCCACCTCCCAGCGTTTAGTCTGTGGAGATTCTCGGTCCTCCAGGTCATCGTTGTGCCAAAGGTGCTTTTTCAAAAGGAAACTGGACTGTTTTTTTTCCTCTGAGGAAGAAGGACAAGATGTTTCACTTCTCATCCAAGAAGCTTCTTCAGTTCTAACTTCAGTCCAAGCTTTTTGGATGAGAAGCAAAGCATCTTTTTCTTCTTCCTCAGGGAGAAAAATGGTCCAGTTGTCTTTTGAAAAAGCATCTTTGAGACCACCAGCACTGAGGTCTTCCTAGCACAGGGGTAGGCAACCTCGGCTCTTTTATGACTCGTGGACTTCAACTCCCAGAATTCCTGAGCCAGCATGAGGGAAACTTTGGCCCCTTCATAACTTGTAGACTTTAACTCCCAGAATTCCTGAGCCAGCATGAGGGAAACTTTGGCCCCTTCATAACTTGTAGACTTCAACTCCCAGAATTCCTGAGCCAGCATGAGGGAAACTTTGGCCCCTTCATAACTTGTGGACTTCAATTCCCAGAATTCCTGAGCCAGCATGGCTCAGCTTGGAAACCTCTCCCTTTCCCCTCAGCATGGCTGGCTGAGGAATTCTGGGACTTGAAGTCCACGAGTCATAAAAGAGCCGAGGTTGCCTACCCCTATCCTAGCAGTTGGAAAGCATGGAAATGCAAGGAGATCAATAGATACCACTTTGATGGGAAGGGAACAGCATTCCGTGGGCTTTTGGCATATAGCCACACTGGCCACATGACCACAGAAATTGTCTTCGGACAATGCTGGCTCCCTTGGCCAAGAAACGGAGATGAGCACAGTGTCCTAGAATCAGACATGACAAGACAGGGAATACCTGTCTAATTTAATGAAGAGAAGGACAAGGGGAGACATGATAGCTGTGTTCAAATATCTCAGGGGCTGCCCCAGAGAAGAGGGAGTCAAGCTATTCTTCCAAGCGCCTGAAGGCAGGACAAAAAGCCATGGATGGAAACTAATCAAGGAGAGAAGCAACCTAGAACTAAGGAGAAACTTGCTGACAGTTAGAACAATTAACCAGTGGAACAACCTGCCTCCAGAAACTGTGAATGCTCCAACACTGGAAGTTTTTAAGAAGAGACTGGACAGCCATTTGTCTGAAATGGTATAGGGTTTCCTGCCTGAGCAGGGGGGTTGGACCTCCAAGGTCCCTTCCAACATCATCATTATTATTATTATTATTATTATTATTATTATTATTATTATTATTATTCATCACCCAGGCCAGAGGTAGGCCACCTTGGCTCTTTTATGACTCGTGGACTTCAACTCCCAGAATTCTTGAGCCAGCATGGCTCAGCTTGGAAACCTCTCCCTTTCCCCTCAGCATGGCTGGCTCAGGAATTCTGGGAATTGAAGTCCACCAGTCATAAAAGAGCCAAGGTTGTTTACCCTGACCTGGGCCATGTAAAAATTATAATTTTGTTATATTATTTATATAAAATATAATGGTAACGGCTGTGTGGATTCCAGAAACATTTGGGCTCACAAACAATCCCATTTTAGATTAACTTGGTATGTTCAGTTGGTTCTCCGTACAAGATAGTATTCAGTTTTATTGTCCAGGGAAGCAGTTCTATAATCTCAAAAAATGGGAAGACTGGCAATGACAAAGCATTCTTTTCACGGAAGACCCAAGTCAAGTTAGAGGACGTTTAAAAGCAAGCCCATTGTTGCAATTCCTTCTACAATCAGAAAATAGCACTTTTCAAACAATTGCTTATTATTTCTCATGGTACAGATCCTGGCCATGTCCACTACCAATTTTACAAATCTAAATTTTAAAGGAAAGAAAGAAAATGTTAAAATGGGAGGATTTCAGCCTCTTGGAAAAACAATTGTTCCCAAGTTCCCACTTACAGTCCTAAGAAGACTGTGGAGCCTGGTGGTTAGAGCAGAGGCTGTTTGCCAGACTTGAAGTTGCTATTCACAAACAAAGCAATTAAGGGAGTCCACAAGCTCAGAATACTTTTGACCACAAGCCACAGATGTGACAACTTCAAGTTCTCCAAGAATGAAGAAGCATTTGCGTTTAGTGGGTTATGACCATTGTGGCTCAATTTGTTTTGATTGAAGAAAATAAATCATTAAGAAAATAAACTCAAGAAAAGGGGGAAAAAAACAACCCACCAGACAAATCAAATTGCTGAACCTAAAACATTTCCAGGCATTTGAAAGCTGTAGGATAAACAAAGAACCGCTAGCCATTATGTTAACATTCCCAGCTGAATGTTCACCAGGGAAAGAGTGGGAGGGAAAGGTGATGGCAGATGGTTATCAGAGACTCATCCTCAAACAATATTGTTCTAACCCAACACATGGAAATGTTTTTGGACCTTGAGGATGTGGGGAGCAAAAAAATAAAATAAACCCCCAAACGTTGTGCAATGCAACAGCTGTAAAGCTTTGGTCATGCAAATTTGCAAACAGTTGAATTCTCGGTGCTCTCTGAGTTTGTCTGGTGGCTTGGAGACATTATGTTACCCAACTGGGTAACAACATCATCAATGTCAATAATGTCACCTAATTGGGCAATGCAACGTCTGCAAGCCAACAATTAAGCCCAAGAAAACTTCAGTTCGGCCTTGACCTACCAGTTATTCTCTTCTACTGAGATCGGCAAACATGTCACGATACGTACTGAATTTGTCAATCCGTACATTCCAAACGGTATAAAGAATACATGGTGCAACTCTTTTTAAAAGGATGGGCATTCCCATGTAGGGTTAACTGCAGTTGCAGGTAACTCACCTTTGATGAATGGGTCTTGCTAAGCTTGTTTGAAAGTTACCAACAGCTCCCTTGCATCATGGAATGCCAAACTGGGGCTCCTATCTCTTGTTACAAGATGGGTTGTGAGCATGGTTACAGTACACATGTGTAGGTAAGCCTTGACTTACAACCAACAACTGGGACCAGAATTGCCATTGCTAAGCAAAATGATTAAGTGACTCGTGCCCAGCTTTGCAACTTCGGCAATGATTGTTCAACAAATTGTTATATAACACAGTAGTTAAGTGACTCAGGCTTCCCTTATTGTCTTTATTAGTCAGACGTGTGCTGGGAAAGTTGCAAATGGTGATCACATGACCCCCACAATGCTGCAACCCTTGCAAATACATGCCAGTTGCCAAGCACCCAAATTCTGATCATGTGACTGTGGGCATGCTACTCTGATGGACTGGCCATCATCACTTTTTTCAGTGCTGTTATAATATTGAACAGTCGAGTGGCGTGGTGACCTAGAGGTGGCGCTCTCACCTCACAATCAGGAAGCTGTGAGTGCGATCCTAGGTAGTGGCAAATATTTCTCTCTCTGGGCGCAAAGAGGAAATATCTGCTGGGAACTCCGTGTAGGCATCAGGAAGGGCATCCGGACAGTAAACACCCAACTCCATTCAGTCACCCCGACTTCACTCCGATACAAGGGATTACAGGGTCTTAAAAGAAAATATTGAACAGTCACTAAATGAATCGTTGTAAGTCAAGGACTACCTGTATTTTGCTAGAGGACAATGATTAGCTAAGCAGAAATGAGTTTGCAGCAGGTTAAAAGAGGGAGAACGTCATGGCTGCATAATTGCTATGTGTCCGAATTCACATCTTCCCCCACAAAGAAGATTTTGCACTGTTGTCAGGTGCGAATAAAAAGACCTGCCATGTTTAAGAGACTGAACCTTTGACTCTTTTGCTTGAATCTCAACTTTTCCTTTCTATTTTTTTTATAATGCAGCATAGCATGAAATCCTCTCTTGCCCATTATTGGCCTCATTTTGAAACCCCATTCTTCATGCATGCAGAGACATGCATGTTCATTTATGTTTGCTTCTCAGTGGAGGAATAAGGCTGCATATGTCTGATGAAGTGCATCTCAATGCCGAGAAATCATGCAGATCTTGCAGCTCCACCAAAGTTGTGTTGTCCCAGCTGTGGTAAGTAAGAACCAAGGTCTCTACCCTGTTATTACTGGCCTGGTCCATAATTAGAGTTTTATTGAAGAAAAAAAACAAACATGAAGCCACCCTCCCTTTTGCTGCCAAACAGTCCTAAATTCAGATCTCATGGCCTTCTTGAAGCTCCATCTTTGGTCATACATTTGGAAGAATTTGTAATCTGAGCTTGGCAGTTCCCCAAGTTAACAAAGACACCAGCATTTCCTGATTTGCAACAGATGTGCTCTGAGCCTAGCCTTGAACCCTTGCTTGCACAGAACAGAAAAACATGGTGATGCACAGGCGCAATCTAGTGCTTGTGTAGGAATGCTAAAAGGAAGGGTTTCTATATTGTGTGGTAAATGTTATGCAAATAAATCTCTCTTTCATTGTGGTGGGTCTCCCACAACATCTGCGGAAGTTTATCTGTCCATTGATGATGGAGTCAACCACATCCCATGTTCCTTATCTTAGTTCATTTTTTCCAAGTGTGGATCAATGGTTTCCGTAACAGAATTCTATTCTCCATGGATGGTTAGCCTGTACATGCAGGGATCTCGTTCCCTGTGGATGGCAATATGACTCAGTCAACTGGGTGTGTCTCTGATGAGCTTCACACTGGATATTATACAGCTGCTTTGCTCTACTACAGCCTTTAAATAAATGGCTTTTTCTTGGGGGAAAGAGGGAAAACAGCCTTAACCATTTTGCTCAGATTCTGACCCAACCCAAAATCCCCCTCTTCGAGTTGTTCTTTCACTTGTGGCTGGGA